CTCTAAAACAAGGTCGTTGATGAATATCAAAAATAATAGAGGACCAATCACACTGCCCTGAGGCACTCCAGATGTAACCAGCGCAGGTTTAGATATTTTATCATTAACTATTACTACTTGCTCTCTATTACTTAAATAAGATTTAAACCATTCTAAAAAATTCCCTTCTACTCCTGCTTTTTGTAGTTTTTCTAACAAAAGTCTATGAGTCACCGTATCAAAAGCTTTTGCAAAGTCGAAAGCAACTCCTACTGCTATTTTTCTTTCTTCTAAAATATTACTTAACTTAGTTGTTATATGTAAAAGAGCGTCAACTGTTGAAGAGCTTGGCCTAAAGCCAAATTGTACGTTAGTAAAAAAACGTTTTTCATGCAAGTGACTAAGTAAACATTTATGAATAAGAAGCTCAAAAACTTTGCTAATGTTAGATAAGAGAGAAATTGGTCGATAATTAGAGCACAGATTTCGTGCTCCCTTTTTATGGATTGCTTTTATTATCGCTTTTTTCCACAATTTCGGAAAAACTCCTTGTGCTAATGATAAAGTAAATAAGTGATGTAATTGTGGTGAAATAACTTCAGAGCATAGTTTTAAAAACTGGACATCAATACCATCGATTCCTACAGATTTCTTGTTTTTAAGCTTCGTAATCATATCGTTTACATCCGCTACAGTAAATATAAATGTATTTAAAAAACGTTGGTTACCTTTCTGCATATTAGTGTTGCTAGTAGACGGAGAAGAAGGTTTTTTATAACAACTATGAAAGAATTCCGAGAACATTTCTGCCTTATCAAGATCTGTACATGCTTGCGCAGTGTTACTATCTAGCCGACTAGGATAATCAGAAAAACTCTTTCGAAATTTGTTTAAGTTAGACCAAAACTTCTTTGAATCTGAAAAATGCGATTTGATTTTAGAAAAATGTCGATATTTATCTTTACGTAATGCATTTAAAACGTTATTTCGCAATTTTCTATACTCAATAGTTTTTAACAAAGTTTGATGACGTTTTAACTTACGAAATTTTAAATTTTTTTCTCTAATTAATCTTTTCGTGTCCTTTGAAGGTCGAAAAACTGCCTTATTCTTAAAAGAAACCCGTTTCAAAGGTACACAACTTTCTATACATTTTGTAAAATGATGTAAAAGCGTTTCGGTAGTTTTGTTTACTTCATTTGAAAGATAGAAAGAATTATCAATTTCCGATAACAATTTACGTAAAGTAGTTAAATCACAGTTTTCATAATCGCGTACGAATTTGACCTCGTCCTTTTTAGGTTCTCATTTTTAAAGGAAAATGCCGGGTAATAGATAAAGAATGTAGTGAGTATGACTGTGAAAGTTTATTTTAGTCCAAAAGGAGTAATAAATGGCTCATTAATGCAAAGTTATGTTAACTGGTGGTTGAGCAAAACACGTGACGGTAAAATGTTTATAACCGATTCGTGTACCTCACATATCAGTAATGAAGTAAAACAAATATTTAAAATAAAGGAATTGTTTTATGTATACAAAAAAGCTTATATATGTATATGACAAAGTCATTGAAGAACATATCCAGCTCATACAGATAACTGAAAGATGATGAGATCATCTACTGGCCCAAAACAATCCATATCTGCCGTTGCATTCCGTCAGACAATGCAAACTACCAGATCATGCTCTAGCAGCCCCGAACCTGAAAATTAGTTGTAGTGTCTAGATAATTTATAAGGTTTCCCCTCTTCTTCTACCAGCATATCGGTAGATCCTGACTTATGAAACTAGTGAGAAATCAAAGTCTTAGCCTGATTAATTCTAAATTGTACTTTGGGCTAGTCCAATCTTAGATTTGCGTGGTGTACTTCTTATTACATTTTAAATCGACATAAAATGTAATAATGTAATAATAAACGCTAAATGAGCTACCACGAAGCTGTTGGATTTTTGCGAACAGGTAGAAACCACAAAAGCTTATTCTTCGATCTCTAAATCTGGGAACACATCATAAAAACGATCTTTCTGTCAAAAAGGGCGAAAGTCAAGTAAACTTTTGCCAATTGATGAAAAGAAGGATATAGCATTGGTGAAGGTTCTGTGTCTCGGCAGTATTGGCAAACTTCCATATGAACTTTGCCGATATTGGCGAGAGTCCACTTGACTTTCGCTAATTGTTCAGAAACAGAGATGGTGTATTATTATCGGTATATTCGATTACGGTGTCATGTTATTTTTTCCTTTGTAATGTCAGAAATATTTGCTCATTTGATTGAATAAATTAATTCTACTCATGAAAGTCGAATTGAGCGCCAAATTACATGATAAAAGATCAACTGTCTCATTACCATGACATGTCTTATATTAATCGTGTGCGCACATGAAACTAAGTTTATGTATATTTTAAATGGAAAACAAGGATATCTCCTCTCTCGATCACAAATAGTCGAAAGCAGAATAATTTCTAAGGTCAATTTACAATCAACACTATTCTCTAGAAAAAGGATAGCTTCAGACAGAATCGTTTTTTGTTTTGCTACCTTAAGTATTAGCTTTGTTTTCATCATTTAAATGTGTTTTTCGACATCCAAATGGTGAACGGGGGACGAACACCATAGACAGAGAATCATGAAAGCCTCATTTTGTAGAAAAGAAAGAAGAAAGGTGGTTTAGGTGTGAGCAGCCCTAGAAAAATAAAATTTTGACCACGAACAGATGTTCAGAAATCTGTACTGATAAGTGTTAAGGTTGAAAATGTATTTCGTGAGCTACCGTCTCGAAGTTAAATGCAGTCTTTAACTGTTACAAGAACGTATTGCGTGTTGCTGACTTTTAACTGTGCAAAACAAAAAACGAATATAATAAATATGTATTTATGTTCACTATTTTTTCTGTGAGTGCTGACATAAAACATGTATTATGGTAATAAACTACGATTTCCTCCCACTGCAAAAAAAATTACCGAAATATAACACAAAAAAAAATAAAAGAATGAAATGGCCTTTGTGAACTTAGTATGTTTTCTTTTGATAGAAAATAGATGAACAAACGATCAAACACCGATATCCAATGACAAAAAAAAATGTAAACCTTCGTTTGAAATGTTACGTATAAAGAGTAAAACAGCATTAATCTTGTTTTCGACAGTAATTACCGGACATGCATGCTTCACAATAACATGCCAAATCATCACCACGATTATTGTTGTAATTCAGCTGAGGCGGATCGACTGTCAGATTTATATTGTACACTTTCAATATCAATTTTTTAAGTAAATAATCTATCGTTCGTTCAATTTGTTCATCGCCATAATGAGCTTGATGATATTCTGATCGATGACATTGACGACATTTCTGTCCAAACTTTCTCCATTTAATCCTGTGAGAAATCGGATCATATTGGAATAAGATAGTTGAATGCGCTTTACTGAACCATTCGTGACCACAATCTTTATATCCACAACGAAAACTGAAGAAAAGAGAACACTACAGACAAGGACTTCTTGTTCATGATGAATACACTCACTTGGCTCCTGCATATTTCTTAATGATTTGTCTTTGAGGGAAGCCGGGAACGATGCTAGGGTCTTGATCCCGTTCAAATTGCCACTGATGTTGTAGATGTGGCCTATAGCGAGGTGTATTTTTGAAATCATCAAATGTTTCTTTGAATGGCATGTAATCGGCCGCCATCCTCTCACGTTAACGTGTTTTGTCTTCTGTTGATGTTTTTGCTCACCATCCCCAACTCTTTGTAGACGGCTTGAATAACAGAAATATTTACATAAGAACACGAATTATCCTATTTAACTTCTCGATGTCATACAGGTTGTTGCAAAGAACAGTAAAAGTATGACATGTGAAAAATGGGGAAATACTTACTCATTAAAAAGGTATATGATCTCCAGTTGTGTTAACTATACTTAACCTGTGATACTACTCTTTGTGCTACCGATTTTTTTCCATGAAATATAAAAAAACGAACGGGGTGTTTAGACATTTACAAAGTTGAATTATCACAGACTTGCGTAGGTTCCCGTTAAAAAATCGATGTACGCTTTGACCTTTGGTATGTAGGTCACGTACAAGAAGCTGGAACTTTAAAGTTATGTTCAATAACTTTAAAAGGAAAATGAGACAAATGGAAAATATGTTTTTGAACAAAAATACTTTTCACAACTATTATTTTAGCCGCTTTTTAAGTGCTCCTAAACAACTGAACGACATTTCCGCGGTGACTTTTCAGCGTACACTTTAGACGGTAGCACAAAATCAAAATTGGCATTTAAGCCCCCCACCCGTTAGAATATATAACTTTTTATATAAATTCCATGAACTAAGTAACGAAGAGCAGCGTGACTCAGTTGACTAGTGGGTAGACAACGTGTTCAAATATCCGAAGTTCGAGTCCCGGCAACGGCGGTTGCGTGACAGTCTTGGGCAAGCTATCTAATGCTCATTGTTTCGGTACCTTTGGACACAGATGCAATAGGGTAACCCGATTTCAGTGCCATTGGACTGGAGAGATGAGAGTTAAAATTTAAACGAAAAAAGTAATAGAAAGAGTATGTCCACGCAGTGTCCATTAAACGTGATTATATGATAGAAAAAATTGTGAAACCATATTGTGATTCAAGGGTTTTCTTTTTGTCGATTTCTTATAAATAAAATATAAAATAGTGTAAGTACTGTAAATCCTGAATTTGTTGCCATAATAATATTTTACTGAAAAAATTGACTTCTTTATTTTATCTAATAGTACTTTGTTTAATTTTTTTCGGCAACGAAAAATTTATTCTAAAACCAGACCAATATGAGGTTTTGTTGAGTTTTTTGTGCTCGTTCGAATGATATATAATTTCAGAAAATCAAATGTATGATGATCTTGCTACAATTACAAGAACAAGAAATACAGAATTCTCCAATTTTTGAATGAAGACTTTGAAAAACTCGCTGATACTTTTTTTTCTCAACGATGAAAAGTTTTCATAGGCTAAAAACTTGGATTTATGGCTAACTTTAGATGGAGAATCCAAAAATCGTATTTAGAAAAACGTTATTTTTGGAAGGTTTATCTCGACTTTAAAAAGTGATACTCTCCCGAGATAAGCCCACTATTGCGATAGCCAGTGATATGTTGAACACGTGTCGTGATGATCTCTCTGCTACTTTGTTGCTTGGCTAACATTTAAAATGGATGCTACTTAATTCTGTAATAGGATGAAGACACATTTAGTTTAAGGGTCATGTGTACTACTATTAGTGCTTTTCTCAGACGTTTCTACTTCGGAAAATCGATATCACCTCTTTTCTCCGCTATTTTGTTGTTTTAATGTTTTTAATTATCGACTGTCTTGTATCCTCAAGATGATTTGGTTTCTAAATACATACTCAAGTTTCAATCGAACGTTTTCTATGGTATCTGTTTTTGTTCATTCCGTTGATTATTTAGTGTGGTCATTTCTTATTAGGTATTTCGTGTATCAGTAGTTTTGCGATTAAGCTTTTTAAAGAAAAATATACTCCACAGAAAAGTTCTGATGACCAACGTGATGCTTAATAAATAATAAAGAAAATGGAAAAACATAACAATCAGATGAGGCATTTGAGATTATAAAAATATCTGACGTTGTCTACTGGTTGATCGGCTGCTTTTCGAATAAATAATCCAAATGATTCAGCAAGAAACTGATAAAGTCTTGCGACGAATATTGGATGTGTTTCCCATACATCTGGACACTCAGGAAACCAACGTTCGAAATTATAGGAAATGAATAATTTGAAAAGGACACGTATTTCTTTGGTAGTTCAATGTGGTGCCACGCTTTTTGGTAATATATAACTGATGGAGGTCTTTTGGTTATTTTTTCTCATTGATTTATTAATAAATACTTGTGGAGAACATCCAAAATAAACATTATTTTTAATTTTGTATGTAACATATCCAATCCACATCATATGCAAAATTTCGTCAATATAGTAGATATAGTCAACGTCTAATATCCAAAACAGTGAATACCCCAGTTCTGTTTAGGAACTGTCATAATCACACCAACTATTACCAGAATGTCTCTATGTCACATATAATTTATTATACATCATTGGATAGTATCATAATTTTGCTCCAAAATGTTTCTATTTTTCAAGAAATCACCTGGAAGGTTTTTTTGAAAATACTTTTAGTCCTAAAATCTTTTATTTTTGTTTAAACATAGATTAAAAGGCCAGTAGTTAGTGAGTGATAAAGTGCGTTGTTACTCTTCGTTACTATATCACACATTTTTCCCGGTGGGCACACGAAATGAATTTAAATCGACGAAATACTATATCATAGCTTTTATATTGACAAAGTTCAGAGCAGAAGATTATAGTACACCCCCATAAGGGGTTTTTCGCTAATATATTGTGGTAAGAGATTATACCTTTTATGATTTGATGAGAGATGTCCGGATTCCTGTAATACTGGAACTTCCATTTTCAAACGAGAATTTGCTGCTTTAACAGGAATTTCGTATTCAACTCATAATACATTAGCAGAATTCTGTTTTTGGCCAGAATTTCAGTGGGAATTCCTCTCTCCCAAGAGAATTTCTGTTAGACCTTATCGAAATCTGTTTCCTTTCACAGGAATTTCTGTGATAATAAAAACTAGAAATTAAAACTGTACGAGAATTTTTCTCGCACCGCCAGAATTTCTCGCTTAGCCTACAGGAATTTCTCTCTGAGCTAACAGGAATTCCATAAAATTCAGTTTTTCTTTAACATGGCCACTATCCGTTCCAAAAAGGAAGGCCGGTTATTATTGTTTGAATAATTCAAAGGAAATAAAACATTAAGACTTGCGTTTTTGACCATTCGATGGCCAAGGCTTGAAGCTATCTTTCCATAAGCAAAAACAGATTTTGGAAAAATTTTCGAAGGCCGTTCGAAAACCAGTTTGGTTCTATCAAATCTGACATATAAACCTATGGATTTTTTTTCATAGATATATAGTCCGAACTGTCCTTTACAAAACTGGGCCTAAACGATATCTTCGAAATCCGTGGCTTAGAAGCATCCATCCAACCTCCTTTACAATGAATGCCAGAAAATACACTATTTTATCCGCTCACTCTGATCGGATTGACGGAAAAGACAGAAAAGAAAAATGTCGAAAAGGAAAATGTAGAAAACAAAAACAGCGAAAAGGAAAACGTAGAAAGGAAAATGTAGATGAGTCATTTGCAACTTTATTGTACAATTGGTAAAAAAGAATGAAAGTGACTTTAAACAAAATTTGATTAATACATCCTGTTCTCGGCTGTTTTCTGAGTCTAACGTACTATTTGATTTTTGCTTTTCGTTCTTTCTTCTGTTAGAAAAACTTACTTTTCTCTCAATAACGAATAGGAAAACGTCGAAAAAAAATCAGGAAAATGCCGAAGAGGAAAATGTCGAACTAGAAAATAGCGAAATTCAGGTTGACGAATGGGGAAAATAGAAAAAAGGAAAAAGTAGACAGGAAAACGTCGAAACAGTATTAGTATAGAAATTTTTTTTATTGCGATCATATCAAAAGAACGATATAAAAAAATGAAACTGTTGTAATACTATTAGCTAGAAAAAGTTTTTATTCCGCTCATATAAAAAAAGTGAAATTTATAAATTTTAATTCTGTTTTTTGTGAGAACCAAGTAATAAAGTCAATCCATTCAACAATTGCTTTGCTTCGATTTCATCGTTGTCGAATCTTGTTTTAAGTGAAATCGTCGCTGAAAAGCTGTTGTACGTGTTGTTGGCTTTGAAGATGAAGCACCAGCCACAAGTTGACTGATTGACGCAATTGTTGAATGGATTGACTTTATTACTTGGATCTCACAAAAAACAGAATTAAAATTTATAATTTTCACTTTGTTTTATACGAGCGGAATAAAATTTTTTTCTAGCTAATAGTATTACAACAGTTTCATTTTTTTATATCGTTCTTTTGATATGATTGGAATAAAAAAATTTTCTATACTAATATTATTTCGACATTTTCCTGTCTACTTTTTCCTTTTTTCTATTTCCTCATTCATCAACCTGAATTTCGCTATTTTCCATTCAACATTTTAATCTTCGGCATTTTCCTGATTTTTTTTCGACGTTTTCCTATTCGACGTTTTCCTTTTCTGCGTTTTCCACCAAACCGACTCTGATTCTGTACGTAAAATCTATAAAAAGATTCTTTTAGTTTCGACGATTTCTGAGAAACCTTTCTAGAAACCAAAGTATTTTCTGTTGACTTTTTCAACATTTATTAAGTTGCAGATAAAATAGAGTATTTTCTGCCATTGTGAAGGATGTTGGATCGATTTTCACACTAATTTTCGATGAAAATAACCAAAAATAGGTTATTTCACTAAGTATAGATTTTCCTCGATTCGTACATTTTGTTCTAAAAACTAACATTACCACAAGATTCAGCACAGTCGATAACCTATGTTTTCATTCATTTCTGACAGTCACAAACCCAACGGCAGAGGAGTGCTGAGACTTCCGGAAGAATGTCCATAGCTTCCAAGCCACGGATTTCCAAGATGTCGCTTAGGTCCAGTTTTGTAGAGGACACTTTATATATCTATGAAAAGAAATCCATAGATTTATATGTCACATTTCAGAGAACCCAGCTGGTTTTCCGAAGATCCTCTCAAAACCGACTTCGAAAATTTTTTCAGAAGCGATTTTTGCTTATGGAAACGTAACTTCAAACCTTGGCAATGGAAGGTCAAAACCGCACGTCTTTATCTTTTATTCCCTTTGAGTTCGGGGCGGTTAAACGGTTTTTTTATTAATGTGAAATACCTTTTTTATGAAATACCAAAACTGGTTGTGTAGGATGTCGAAAGTTTAGTTCCGTAGGATACGAATGATTTTTTCAGAATACCCAGAAGGGTATTTTGAAGTACTGAAAAGGGTATTACAGGATACCAAATTGGTTTTTCTACTTTTTAAAACCTGTTTTGGTTTTTATGGTACTGATTCTTTGCTATCATTTTCGGTCGAGGTTTTTCTACGCTTAGTTTTTACGCCTATTTTCATCACCAAATGAATTTTTTGCCATGGATTAGCCAAATGTGATGCATTTGTAAACTGTTGACAAAATTTATGATATTAACTGGTCCTTGGATCTAATTCTCGTATAATGGTCTCATTATAGATACTTTTTTGTTCTAAGAACTTTTGAAATAGTTGTGCGAAGTTTCAATGTTTTTTGAGTCTTTCTTTCTTTATGAACATTGAGAACCGATTAAGTTGCGCTAAAAATTCTAAATTGTGCTACAAATTTAAAATGGAGGAAGAAATCTCCACTTCGAAACAAACTTAGAGGTAGTATGAAATGTTTGAGGTAGCGCTGAATTTAAAGAAATAGTGCTGGAAAATTTGAAATACTGCCTGCTATTTGAAAAGAAAACGCGAAACTAACATAAGTTAGTCGTTCCGGAACATTTCGTAAGGAAGGAAAAAATATGATATTCGGATAGAGCACAATTTTTATCTATTTGGGGCGTGAGAGCAGGATACTTTTAATGCTTTCGTTCGAGAAATTCAACCTTTTCAAACATACCTTCAAAATTTGTCATACTCATCTCAGTTAATCTCTAAAACGAGAAGTACAGTAAAAATGATGTAGTCAGATTAGCCGAGTGGGTTAGATGCTAGTTTAGTACAGTAAGTTACTTGCACACGTACAGTCCTGAGTTCGATCCTCAGATCTGATTTCGATTTTTTTATCTTTTTTTTAGCCTATCCTAAAATACTAAAACGGTAGTTTGAAAAACCCAAAACAGCGTATCCTTCGATACCCAAAAGGGCATCCTAAGATACCCTTAAGGGTATCTGCATTTGAAACTAATAAGAACTACTTTTTGGTTCTGTAGAAATAGGAATACCCTAAACGTATCCTGAAAAACCAAAAAAGGTACTCTAAGATACAAACAAACCGTACTTATTAGTTTACCTTTTTTTGGTTTTGTAGGATACCTTTTATTTTTAGAGTGTAGTAACTATGTTAAAGAAAAAATAAATTTTGAAAATGAATGAAAATGAGCACAAAGAGACTGACAATCCGGAAACTTTTTTTCCGTTAATCACCAATGTTAGCATTATATAACTTAATAACGGACAAACGAAAGGTCCGTTTCTGACCTTTATTCAAGTTAATTTTTTTCGAAATTTTCATTTGCACCGTACAATACTAGCGCAAATCGCACAGGTAACAAGAGACCCCGCGTTCGTGAAACTGTTAAAGCTTTTATAATGAAAGAGGAACGATTAGGAATTTCTTTAAAAAGCAGGCCCGTTTTGGAATTTACAAGTATATAGTTTCCTGTAAGAATTTTCTGAAATTTGCATCTCGTTCAAGAAAAACATGTACAAAGCTAAGAGACGTCTTATTTTGATCAGAATTTTACGGGCTGCAACCTTGAGAGATGACAAGTTTTTCGCGTGCATCTCAGAAAATATTTCAACTTTCGCGGTATCGAATGGTTTATGATATACTGGAATCCTCCTTTTTATTCATAAAGATATTGTCATTTTAATCCCACGGGACACTGGCATCTCAAAAAATTTTATGCGACAACCAATTAAAATCCACAGCAGTCGGAAAGACAAACTGAAGAATAAGCGCGGTTAAAATACTGTAAGTAAATAAATGTTAATTACATGGATAAAATGCAGTGGTATCTAAATAATCATAGTAGATACGAAAGTAACCTGAGTTCACTAGGTGAAAACAAAATTGTGTGATTATTTGAGTAATCTATCAATACTTTTTCATCTATTGCCGAAGGTTAGTTCTGGATCTAAAATCGTAACCACATTCGTCTATTTTTTATCATTCGAAACAAAAAGGTCAGCACTTAATCGAATTTGTTTTTTGATTAGATTTTGTGAATTCGCTATCGCTTCCACTTTTTCTTTGAAGAATTGCTTGAACCCGATTTGTTTATCGCTACTTTCAATGGAAGAAATTGAAGGTAAAATTATTTTTATTGTTTATCAAGGTTAACAGTTTTAATTTTTCAATTTTCTCAGGATTAGAATTGCCTCGTTTTTTCTCTTTATATCCTATATTTAAGTGTAATTTGAGTCTGTTGACATCGTTTGACAAAAACAGTAGAAATGCAATTATTACTAACGCTATTCTTCTTTGTTTCGCTAGCCGATGGAAGTCATAGTGCATTCTAATGTGACAATTTTTCCCATAATTTAAGAGTTCTCATAATTTTAAAAAAAAATGTAAAGTCATTTTTTAGTCTCAGAGTTTTTACACATATTATTCTTCCGAATGGTTTTTAGCAGATATTATTTTTCTCGCTTATAATCTGTTCATTGAATACGTTAAAAATTACAGAATTCTGAACGAATTATGTCACAACTTAGATTAATTGTATATTTCGCTTCTGTTATCTTATTTTTACTATTTTGTTTTCGTGTATACTTTAACCAGCAACGGACGATTCACTTTTCATTATTAAAAACGAATACAACATGTTCAAAGCCAACAGATCCAAGTTGGGTGCGTCATTTTAGGGACAAAGAATCTAAAATTTATTCACAAAATGGGGAAGATGGTGTGCTCTTATGGATATTTTCAAATATTGGTACAACCAATCGACCTTCGCCACAATTCGTTGAATTTGGCGTGCAGAATGGACAGCAATGTAATACACGTTTCTTAAGAGAGCATTTAGGTTGGAAAGGATTAATGATGGATGGTGGTAACGACTGGCCGAGGATTAATCTTCATAAAGAATTTGTTTCAGCAGCAAATGTTAATCAGGTAGACGAAGGCGAAGTTAATAGCAGATTCGAGCAAATATTTGAATCTTAAGCTTAGCCATCTTTGTTTTTACTTGATTTGTGCGCATCTGATGAACTTTTAGTGCCAAAGGTAATATACCCACGAAAAAATTTTCAGCGAAAAAATGCATCGAAACCAGAGCTTAACTGTGATAGTCAAGTGAAATAAACTATGATTGTCCTTATGGCATAGACGAGTAAATGATAAGTAGCCTTGATCAACATGGTAAATGAGACTGTGTTTGGGAAAAACTTTTTATTAGATGGGCCGCCCACGGGCGCCCATGGGTCAACTAGTCCGGTCCATGGATCTGGCTGGGCCGGAAAATTTAGAACTAAAAACCATGAGCTGGGGCGGTAAAGGACGACATAGCCCACAGGCCAACTTTTGCCGGCCCATTCGGAGCCCCGGTCGAAACGTAAAATTTACTTTACAAAACGCTGTTTGTACGTTTAAACGCACCGGCTTGTTTTGCAACGCGTTGTTGATCATGAAAACGTGTTTCTCTAATTGGCTCAAAACATGCTTTTAATCCAGAAATACGTGTTTTTCTTTGAAGTGAGAACGCGCTGTCATTCGGACAAACTATAGTATTCGAGGAACACGAATATCGACCTAACAGACAGATTATTTCATTTCTCTCAAACACATAGTTAGGTAAGAGAAAAGAGATAATTATCTACAGAAATACTTTATTTTGAGAGAAAAGATTTCTTTTATTTACTTTGTAAATGAAACGAAATCATAGAATAAGGAAGCAAACACTATGTGTTTTGTCTGACTGACATGATCGAAACACATGGCATTGTTACAGTATATGTTAGCTCAGATAGTTATGTGTTTGCTCCTTAATGCTAGGTACCCACATTCGAATCCCACTAAAGTCACGTAAGAGCAAGTTGTTTTCTTTCTCTCCATTGTCACTGTACTAATTTGTATAGTCATTTGTATGCATATCTATCCATAGGTATATATCGTTCAAAGTGAAATTCAGTCCAATGTAATATTGGCCTAGGACAAAGTAAAATTCCACTTTGAACTATAGTTCAAAGTAGCGCGTTTGAAAACTGCTTTTAGCGTTTTCATTAGAAAAAAATGCGTCTGAACGCGTTATAATAACACGCAAAAAGTCGAGCGAAAACATGTTCGCTTAAAACAAAACGCGTTTCAACTTGTTTTAAAATTTTTCATGGGTATACTATCCGGTTGTATTCTTTCTTCTTAATACGATTTTATGTTAACATTTAACATCAACTGGAAATAATACATTGATGAAATCCCAAAACAGTTGAAATGGCTGAAAACTAATAATTCTCTGCGAGGATTTATGTAAAACCAAACACGTCATTCGATAGACCGTGTCGCATTCTGAGAGGACACCTTCAAACAAAGATGACACAGCTTAGGATTCAAATATTTTTTAAAAATTCCCACTCGAATCTGCTGTTAACTTCGCCTATGTATCGGGTACATTAAATTTTTATAAAAAAGGGAATTAAAGACTAAATAGACTAAATATTTCTCCGCTTCTTTTGAATATGGAAAGCCCAGTTCGGTTTTTATAGAACTTCCGTACAGTTAAAAACAAAGAGACACCAGAACGTGTTTATAATTTTATAGCTATTTGAAAAGTATAATGTGCCACACATACTTGATCTGCTAAGCATTGATATTGATTATGATGATTATTGGGTATGGAAAGCAATTGATCTTCACCGATTTGATGCACGGGCTGTGGTCATCGAATATAATTGGGATATATCTTATACGGAGCATCGTGTTGTTGATCCCAATGATAAGCAGCGATGGACGGGTACAAACCATTTCGGTGCCAGTATTTTGGCTATGACTACGCTAGGAAAGAAACGAGGATATACGCTAGTCTATGCTGAGAGAGAAGGTGTTAATTTGTTTTTTGTTAAAACTGATATATTACAGTGTCAAAATGTGTTGGATCAAGTCATGCCGATTGATAAATTGGCAATTAAAAATCCAGGATGGCAACACAGAATGGAATTAGATAAAAATAGAACATGGATATGGAATGATACGTCGATATAATAATATACGATCAACGAGTACAGCTGGTTATGATTCGAATTTCCTTCGAATAGTTTTTCATGAAAATCATTTCGGTCGTTCGACAGTACATGTGTGGCAATACATGTGATCATCAAACATCAAACATCGATTACTTTATCGAATTGGATGATCATTATTTATGCACTGTTATATCACTGCAATAAATATAAACAGAATATAATTGTATCAAATTGTGTAAATTAGGTATTATTTGTTAACCTAGACGTTCACTCGCTATTAAGAATTCTTTTTTGCCTTGATTTATTTCTATATTGTTAATGTATTGTTTACAGTCATCGAAATATAGCGATGATTCTGGTTCAAAAAGTGGATCATTAAAGTAATATTTTTTAAATTCATTCTGAGTCATGCGACTAACGATACAAATGACGTGCGATAGAAATATGCGCATAATTTAAGGTATGTTAAATCTATAATACTAATAATGAAAATATCTGTGCGTAATTTATGTAACAAGAGTATGAATTTGTCCATAAGTTGAATGAATGTGAAAATAAAAAAACACCCTAAATGTGTCAAAGGCAGTGAGGGCGCGAAGAGGTCTCGAGTATAGGGGGGTAGGTAAATCGTCAAATCGCAGTAAATACACAAAATGTTTTTGAAAAGTATGGGAAGCTTACCTCCTCACGAATCGCACCGCCACTGGTCAAAGGATAGAGAAAGGAAGAAATCGTTTTGAGAACACTTGCACGCAGAAAATGTACAGATACGTTGTCATTCTTTCCTTCGTTTTTTCAGTGTTTAATTCATACAACTGGCCGTTTGTCTGCGCGTTGTGTTTAGCTTTCTGAATGATCCCGTGTCAAAGAGAAGGAACGTTTTCTTCCTCATCTAATTCTTTATGTACGTTCAAATAAATTATAGAAAGCTGCATTCGAACAGTATGTTTAACGCACATTCCACCTTTAAGAGCCATTATCCGGTAGACTCAGACAGACAGTGATTGTTGATGTCAGATTTGAATGGCGTTCATTCCAGTTGTAGGTCTGTATGTAACAGAGGTAGGACGAAAGTAATTTTACTTGAACTTTTCGTACTTTTTCAAGTAAAAGTATTATACTTGTACTTTGAGACGAATACTTTTTTACTTATACTTAAGTACGAAAAAAAGAACTTTGTACGTTTACTTGGAATATGAAACACTTTCCTGTTGTGTATTTAAAGTATGTTTCTGATTCCTTGAAATTTTAGTAGTTACTCATAATGCCAAAGCGATTATCATAAGTGTGTGTTACCATACTCTGTATCTTTATTGTTTATATGTCTATCTTATTTCGAGTTATTTAAGCTATTTGATTTTTAACCATACCTAAAAACAAGGAGATATAATCGAGTACTAGTTTAGAAGTATAAAATGTGTTAAAAAACGAAGATCATTCAAAAACGTGTCAGTAAAAAGACTTACTGGTAAAAAGAAATTCATAAAAAGAAATGTATAAATGCTTTTAAATTAAGAGAGAGTTTCAAACTACCTCTTAAATGAATCGCTGGTTAAGAGGGAAAAAGTTTCAATTTGAAAAAACAAATAATTTCTTCTCTGTTAAAAAGGTTAAACACAAATAAGACGTACCAAATATTATATTTTTCTTGTGTTATTCAGTGCACCAGAATTCTGTTAAAATTCTGGTGCACATTACTCTTTCTTCTGGTTACTGACTAATACTCATTTAAAATCGAATGGATATTTCGACGATACTCGAGCATGCATCAGTGTGGCTCTATCGACCAGAGCCTACACGGCACCTTCGATTTATTTTCACAAGATCGTCAATCAGCATTTTGTTGAGGTTCTGCCTAGGCAAGTATCAATCCGATAGTTCGGTGACCGAACAGTTCGTTGCCAAACATGTTCGACCTGGAAACGTGATGCGACCGAACGTGCTCGGTCAAATACGATAGTTTATATTTTTCTCATCAATCGGCGAACGCTCTGCTGAAAAACTATCAGGACATACCATAAACCTTATAAAGATACGTTCGAATGGGCTGCAACTTTCTGTCTACTTTATTTGCTCTATTTTGAAATAAATTACAAATAGAAAATGTTTAGCTTTAAATTTACTTAATTTATTTTATTTTAAATTGCATTTGTTTCAAAAATTTCCCACTAAAATGAAAAAAGTACTTCGCTTAGAGTATGAAGAGGACTATCCTGAACAACTTTGGCAGCAAAAATTTTTCTTCAAAATGCTTTGTTGTTTTTGAAATGCGTGCATAAGTTTCAAAAAATTACTTTAAGGACTCAAACTGCACTATAATGAAAAATGTTAATTTTCTCAGACACCGTTGGTTCAATTTTTATTATAACTTGTGGGTATATGTCACTTAAGGTGCTCTGTCGAACTGTGTGACAATAAGAGTTCCAGCTTCAATTTTGAATTTTGTATAAATTTTTCTAATAGGGGGTCAAAATCGTATGACATTCGTAAAAATTTCTTTTCTCAGCAATTACAAGTCTGTTCATCGAAAGCACTTCAGCTTGATGCGCTCTACAAAGTTATGAAAAAAACGGGGCTGGTTAACCCCCCTTAAGTCAGCCAAAATAAGTCCAAAAAACCTAAAATTATTTTCATAAGCCCGGTTTTAATCGTGAAATTTGAACAGTTTTAAAAAGTGTCCGTTAATTCTGACCATGTTATGATCTTACTGTAAGATGCTCGATGGAGTCATGAAGGTTCTCACACAACCATACAACTCGCAACCACCTAGATGATTGCTTACAAAATACCTGCTACTTTAGTATTTTGAAACCAAAAGGTTCTATGAACTCAAAAATTTAATTTTATTGATGATGAAACAATCTTCTTTGATCCACACGGTCCTTAGACACCAAAAAATAAGAAACTTTGAACACAATCAAATCACAGTTTGAAAAAAACATCGTTCATTCAATTCATTTTAACATAAATAAGTGCATCTTGGGGCGAACCTCCCATTCCATACTTTATGCTTCCAACTGGATCAATTGCCAATGAAAAACCAATTGTATACACTGCATTAACAACAGTGCCAATCGATTGTGCCAGGTAGTGCTAACTATCCGAACAGTCATCATAGTAACATGTTTCAGTGCCACCATAACATCCAGCACTTGCCTGATGTCCAGCACCCCGCCAGAACATGCACAAAATACTGACCAACCGGTTATAATGCCACTGGTAAAATCACTGTTCACTAGTAGTTGTCTACCACTACTGTCTTTAACTGACACATTGTCGATATACAACTGATTATCACTGATAATCAGTTGCATCTGATAATTTATCAGATGCTGAGTTGATAATAAAACGTAATTGGGCTGTGGTTGCAGTAGCAATACAGCTGTATGAATAATTTGTATATGAACCAATACTAAAGCCAGAATAGGATGGAATGTGGAGAAGATAGTTTGAGCCGGATGATGTTTCGCATAGCGCTGGAGGTGTAATTACGTGTTACGATGCTTCGCATTACTGGAGTGAGATGCAACTTTTTGTAGAATTGATGTTGGTAATATAGTCATTTTTCTGTATTGATGAAAAATTAAACATTTTTCAAAAACATACCATTGGATAGCTCATGAAATTCTCTACAAAGTAAGCTGGTTAAAATATCCAGACAGATGGGGTCCTAACTAAAAACTGGCGATTTTTTCGACTTTTTCCGCAAGTTTTTTTGGAAAAATCTGATTTTTCCACAGAAAAAAACGTATTGAAGGAGGAAAAGGTTTTGTTCTTTTTTTCTTTTATCAGGTGCAGAATTGTTTGCTCTATTAAAATACCAAAACTCTATTATGGATTTCTGTTTGGTTGCTTAAAATACTCAGGTATTTCCACAAAAACTTAGTCAAAATTTTAGTAAAATATTAAACATAAAAACATTTCCTCACCCCAGTTTTTCATGCCGAATCGAATAATGTAACTTTTAACAAAATCTATTTTTCGCGATTAACAGGCCTGCTTGAAGGTACTCGATTCACTCATGGAATGTCTCTTAAACTGCATGTAAAACTAGTCTTTCAATGAAGTATTAGATCTGCAAGAAATTTAGACGGCTTCTGCTTCAAATTCCTTTTATCAACCATCTTAATGGAGTTTTTATCGAACTCCTACCCCTCTCAAACTTAAAAGAGAAAAGGATGCTGTTCATATTTTATATAATAATAAATATTTTATCATTATTACAAATGGACATAAAAAGAAACTAAAGAATACGAGTTTCTTTTTGTGGCTACATAAACAACAGGGTGGCTGTCCTCGAATGATTACCCGTGATTATTTTAGAGAGGAAAGAACTGACTACATAATATATAAATAGCACGTTGTATGAAAGCGAAAAACATGAAGATGGAGAATGTTTTGCAAAAATTCTTGAAGGAAAAACGTTAAATTGAACTGTATGACTTCAGATAAATTTTGAACAGACTTCTTTATGGGTAAAATTCATGGATTTGTTTGACGAAAAATTTATTCTTTCGCATGTTTGTATTTGCTAAACAGTATGTCAAAGTTAAGTTTCTAAAATTTGTCTGCTGGCGTCGAGTCTCTACTAACCGGACTTCAGACTAAAAAACATTTTTTAGTGTATTTTATCCTGAAGATCTGGTTGTACAAAGCTCGACTTAGCAGATAAAATATAGAAAATTAAATTTTCTACACTTTCTGTTCCAAACTCAAGCTTGAGAAGTACTTGCTTTGTGGTGAAAAATTGAAAATTAGCTTTAAAAAAGTGGTTTTCGCGGATTTTCACTATGAAGGAGATATTTCCCAAACTTGAGTCTAGAACATGGAATGTAGTAAATTGAGTCTCCTCAATTTTGTCTGGTAGATTTAGCTTTGTACAAGTTGAGCTTCATAGTGCAAAATGATAATTACTGTTTCTCAACACTACGATCTCTCACTAGTTGCATCTAGTTGGAAATCGCCTTATACTAGATGCATCGTCTAATTTTAACGATAGGATGGAATGGAATTAACTTATCAAGTAGATGAATTGATTGATATATGCCTGGAAAAATATAGTTACACACAGTTTTTTCAAGATATTTTCTTTATGAATATATACTTTTAGAAAAATAATCTCATCTTCTGAAAACGCTTGAAATTCTCTATCACCGTGTATATAAATGTCTTGACTTACACTTATTTGCTGAAAAATACTTCGAGTACAACGAAGGCATCCTCATCGTCAGGTTCCCACAAACTGCATTTTTTATTCCTTTTTCAGTCGTTTATTCAAATTTATTATGAATACAGAAATAACTTTTTACAAAAGTAATTAAATATTCTGATAACGCTTGAAATTCTCTAATATCCTGTACTTTGTCGACCTTGACTTGCAATTATTTGCTGATAAATATTTCGAATATTGTTAATCTACCCACGTATCACATTCCCATGAGTTCCATTCCATGCTTCTTCAACTAACTCTTCTTTTTTTACAGACCACGATAAAGAGTACATTCAAAAGTGCAAAAAGAACTGTGTTCTCACTTTTACAATCCCTTTTTACGGAAATAATAGCAGAAGAAAAAGGTTCAAGTGGAAAAAAATACCAGATTTTTTTCAAAGTTTTCATTTTTTTCGTCTTTCGTATAGTCTGCGTAGTTTTCTTGATTGAAGTTCTGAAATTAAAGTTTAAGTATGTTTTTGTAGAGTATTTCGGGGCGCATCCTTTTAAGAAAAACATTAATCTTTGGATGCTAAAGAAACGCGAGAAAAATAGAAAATACTGAGAGGCCCTTCCCGTTACAATTTCTAGGAATATGGTAGATGGGAGGGGAATCAACAATATTCAAAACTTTTGCTAGCAAATAATTTCGAATCCAGGCTGTAAAAGCAGACACTAATAGAGAATTTCAAGTGCTATCAGAATATGGGATTATTTTTCTAAAAGTATATCTTTATAAGAAAAATATCTTGAAAAAACTGTGTGCAACTATTTTTTTCCAGGCGTATATATCCCGCGATACATCGCCCGACACATTGTACGATGTATCGGCCGCTTTATCGTGCGGTTTTACGCGTGTCTTATCTAGAGCTGGTACACAATTAGACTCATCTACCGATATATTGCTCGATGAATCGGGTTAATATCGCTACTGGATACATCTAGAAACGTATCAGCTGTATCTAGATGTATCGGCCGATAACCCGATTCAAATTTTTCTCTTTTTTATGCATCTAGATGTATCGCGGTTTTCTGGAAAACTAGTTTTGCAGAACCATTCATCACTTACGAATATGCTGCAAACAGTAACACAATGACAGTCCACGTTTACCGTTAAGTAATTGCACAATCTCAATCCATGTGCATTATATATGACAGAACGCCAAAGTTTACTTTTGCACTTGTCTGCAAAAGTGAAATTTGTTCGGTTCTGCCTTGTATGTGTACGTGCACTGTCTTTGTGTTACTGTTTGCTGCATATTCATAAGTGATGAATGATTGTACTAGCCCAAGAAAAGAAAACTAACAAGTAGTTTTACCATGGCAGCATTATAAAGTTTACTTTCACACTTGTCTTCTGCAAAAGTAAAATTTGTTCGGTTCTGCCTTGTATGTGCACGTGGACTGTCTTTGTGTTACCGTTTGCTGCATATTCATAAGTGATGAATGATTATACTAGCCCAAGAAAAGAAAACTAACAAGTAGTTTTGCAGAAACTCTGAAAAACAACCAAAGCTTTTCTTAATGAGCCATTCTTGTTGCCCGCACATTTCTGATTAAAATGAGACCTCTCACAACTCTCGATACATTTTTCATGCGTGGGTAGCTGACTTACGGCCGAAATATTTCTTTTTTAAAGTTCTGCTATAATGAGAAACATATATTGTTGTTCTACCTCGTTCTTGCCCTGGCTGATTTAAAATATTTTGAACCTGCAATCGAATAACACAATTTAACCTTTGTAATGTAGTTTTGTTTCTATAGTATGGCCCAAGCAAAACACCCGAACATGTCGCGTTATGCGGATATTCAAGATGAACCAATTCACAAACTACTTGTACCAATCCAAGGTTATCAGGATCAAGAGTTAGTATCACTCGAAGAATCTATTAAGCCTATTGCTCAGTTGTTCGACGATCTTGAAATGCATGTTTGGATAGCTAAACAAAATTGTCAAGCACCCGTAGACAATCTAACTCAAGACAAATCGGCTGCCATTTACTTGTACACAATGGAGTTTGACAGTAGCAAAAGTTTTTATCGTCTTTTAAATGTTGCACTACGATCAGAAAATCGTCGAAGCATAGTACCGTGGTCTAGCTATTTAAAACTATTTATGACCGCTCTATACAAATTGCCATCTAAACCACAAATAGTTTATCGTGGAGTGAAAGGTATTGATTTAAGTGATAAATATTTGAAGGGTAAGCATTTTGCTTGGTGGGGTGTCAGTTCATGTACAACAACTGTGGACGTTTTACAAGAAGAACAATTTCTTGGTCAAAATGGTGAACGTATATTGTTCAATATTGAATGTTCAAATGGACAATCGATTAAATCACATTCGTATTACAGCGACAAAGAAGAAGAAGTTATTCTCATGCCCGGTTCCTATTTTGAAGTTCGCGGTCATTTAAATAGTGGCCATGGTCTAAGAATAATTCAGCTGCAAGAAATAGAACCAAAATACCCGCTAGTCAGACCACCGTTTTCAAAAGCGCTCGTCGATAATACCAACCGTCGGGAAGCTGGAAAACACTTAGGTAAAGATACTAATCGAGATTTTTAAAATTTATTTTTAAATACTGAGGCGTTATTTGAATTTTATCCTTGGAAGACTGGGGTCATACAAAACAGATTGTCAGTCTGAATTAGTTTCATTAGGTATCGACCACTTTATGCAGGACCATTTCCACAAACTCCGAGGCCTATCTCATAGAAAAGCCAAAAAAAATTCTACTCAAGAATATAAGTGATTTGCGCTGCCGTTGTACTGTTTTATATAAAATGTAGCAGATTTAGCGAAATAGCGTCTTATTTTATCATCCAAAGTCAAAGATATGACGAATATTATACTCAAGCGTCAAAAAAAAATCTAGTATCGCTCGATTCATCTAGATTACTAGATTTTTACTCGATCGCAACTACTGTGTAACGACAGTGGAAATCTAGTAATTGGGCGATTACCAGATTTTCTCTAGTTGCAACTACTGATTTATCGCCCGATAATCGATCGATTCAACTATTGTTAGATGCGCCTGCAGACGCATCTAGTTAAAAGTCCCTTTTCCAACTAGTAATCTAGATGACAACTAGTCGGGTATCGCCCGATTACAGACGAAATGTATCTAGATTTTTCTCATAGGTGGTATTTGCTTGAGTATGATCATACTAAATTACGTTAGAGATTGGATGATCTTACAGGATCTTCTACCTACTCTTTGCTGGGAATGCGCGTTGATTGTATCCGTCAATAACCTTGTTGGATCGACTGACCATCCGATTAACGTAGTAGACAACCGCTCTCTATCTAACATATTTCTTAGTTTACCTAGTTTGACTGTACAATTAACCGATTGGTTGAAGCTGGCTCCGCTAACAGCTACATCGATCGTTTGAATGTCTGATTAATCTAGCAGACAACCTGCCATAATGTGAAGAATTAGCTTAACCGTTCGGTTCCAAGTTGAATTACATATTGTGGAACCAGCTCAGTCAGATAAGCCGATCTACCCAGCTTAACTGCCTATTCCTAGCTCATTTTTATTACTTGGGTGTTATCTTGCTCACCTCAAGGGTATACACAAAGATAAAGTGTCTGCTTTTTCATGTGGATAATCAGCATAATAAAAAAGTCGTTTTTACGAGTTGTCGTCCTGCGTCTGTACTTACGAGGAATCGTTCTCAAGTGACCAACTCAGTTTTTCTTCGTCCATATGTGGATAGATAGAGTATATTAAGATAGCCAAAAGACTAAAAGGATTCAGATTCTTATTGCTTCCTGCGAAAGTTATTGAAGTTTTTGAGTTTTTCCTTCGGAGCCTTAAAAGACTCAATATTTTAGTTTCATAAAGTTTTCTTTCCTTTCATATGTATTCAAAATTATTTCTTATCCATAGTCTGATAGAAGAAAGCCTTCTCTTCAAAATGAGACGTCTCCCAGAATTTTTAGATGAATTTTTGCATTTTTGTTCTTTTAAAAACGTATTTTGTACACAGGTCACGGTTTTTAGAGCATTTACAGTGATGCTTATATCTCCAACAAAACTCTTCGGAAAATTCTGGGAGACGTCTCATTTTGAAGAGAAGGCTTTCTTCTATCAGACTATGGATAAGAAATAATTTTGAATACATATGAAAGGAAAGAAAACTTTATGAAACTAAAATATTGAGTCTTTTAAGGCTCCGAAGGAAAAACTCAAAAACTTCAATAACTTTCGCAGGAAGCAATAAGAATCTGAATCCTTTTAGTCTTTTGGCTATCTCAATATACTCTATCTACCTACATATGAACGAAGAATTTATATTTCAAGAATTTATTCTGTTTTGGGTCCCTGGTGATCGACCATTTCTGCCACCTCTACGATTAATTCTATTGAACGAAATATTTTGTGGCGGCAATAAAGCGAGACGGATATTCAAATAGCACTTAACCGCAACGATCATGATTAATGACAGAGGGAGCCACAATCCATGTGAAAATGTGTGAACCGATAGATCGCGCCCATGAGAAAAGGCTGAACTTTCAAGGACTAAAGGATTCATTCCATGCATTTGTTCGGTAAACCTAGCACCTAAGTCTTCAGTCAAGAAATTCGAATGAATGGCAGATGAGCATTAACTTGTTTCTTGCCATTAATAACTAGCATATGGTTTTCGAGGAACGACACAATCAGGATGTCTCCTTCTGGAGTTAAGCAATTGTACAGAAGTATATACAAATTTCAGAGAATAATCTGAGACTTAAGTAGGTGTGTCTTCTGGACGGATAACTGGGGTAGGCGCTTGAAAGCAAAACTAGAAATAATCATTAGAAAAGCAATTAGTATATTCCGAGTTAGGCAACGCTGAAAGTAAGCCCACTAGCGGCTTTTATAAACGAATACGTCTCTTTAAAGTCATTTTTTTATACGACAGAGATATCGAACTATATGGCGGATACTGAAAATTTTCTTCGCTCCATAGACGTTCATTCCAGTTATATTTCAATAGGTATCTCTTTTGAATTTTATTCCATAAAAGCTTCTCAGCGTGAACCTATTCTTCAACCGTAGAACACAACCATCCTTTATATAAACCCATAGTGCATTCCTATTCAGAAGACTTAATAGCTCGACTTCGTACGGATCAGGCAGATAGTAAACGAGAGTGCAGAACTGATTCTCCTTATAGACGAGAGAGTCACCGGGTATGATGAACGTACCGATCGTTTTTTACGTAGACATAATTATAGAAGATGAGGGAAATATGATAGAAAATGCAATGTGTCGTATCTATACAGGAACGAGATAGAAATGGTTGATAGCAGACGTCTCGCTCGTTACGATATCGCTATTTAAGCGTACCTAAGAATCGGGCTTCCCTTTTCACACGGAGCGTCGATGAAAACGAATCTTAATGCAGAAAAAGGAGTATACTGATAATTACAGTTTCACAGGTTTCGAAATGTTTCAAGGTACTTTTAGGTATTTGAAAGTATTTTGAGGGATTTGAGGATTTACAACAAGTATGGTTCATCTTCGATTCACTGACCCTTGACTGAAAATGGGTTTTTAGCGATGATTTGGTGTTAGTATGCGCTTAGCTTTTTAAAGGGATGGAGAAACAGGAAATTTTTGTTTATTTATG